CTGAGAACTAACCCAGGTCCTCTGCAAGAGCAGACAGTGCTCTAACCACTGAGCTTCTCTCTAGCTCCTTGCTTTGTTTTTTACAATTAACTGACTCAGGCGCTGGGAGACTGGACTGGCCTGCTTAATGTTGACGAGTAGCTTGTTTTCTCCCTTTTACTTATTCATGTATGTGCTGTAGAAGACCAGTGTGGAGGTCAGAGGATGACCTGTGACAGCCAGTTCTCTTCCTCCACCAAGCTCAGGCAATCAGGCGTGGCAGCAAGTGCCCTTATTTACTGAGCCACTTCAACAGCCCTGATGACTGTCTCAGTGATGGAAGGGGTTAAACCCCTGGGGCACTTTCAAAATTCTTCAACTTTCCAAAGCAGGATTAGGCCCACCTCTGAGGTAATGAAACTCAAACCAGTGGAGGCTGAACTGCTCTCTGGCCTCAAGGGGCCCCAAGATCCCTCAACACCACGGTGCCAGATTTCCAAGTCGGGAACATGGAAGAGCAGCTACCAGTTACACATTTGGTCATGTATGGACTGGATGTTCAAAGAAAAAAATCAACAACAAACAAAACTACTACAGTGAAGAAAAATGACAAGGTTTTAATGCCAAAACATACAAAGAGATCTATCTAGTGAGACTATAAATGATAAAATGTCCCCAAACACAAGCACCATGTTCCTATTTTTTCCACGTTTCCAGATGCCACTGAAAACTGTCAGGGAGTCAGTGTTGGAGAACTTCAGCTCGACTGCAGGCCCAGCGATGCTTCCAGAACCCCCCCACATCTGCCCACTCCCACAGTCATCGGGCTTATCACACAATGATTATCACATCCATCCACCCACCAATCATTTTCCCTAAAATACAGAGTTGTACAGGCCTTCTCCTAAGGCACCAGAATACCTTTTGATACTGAATGCTTTTGTAAAGAGGCTGTTTTCACTCTTCTAAAATTAAAAAAAAAAAGGTAAAGGCTGGATCTGGAGAGATGGCTCAGCAGTTAAGAGCACTTACTGCTCTAGCAGAGGACCTGAGTTCGGTTCCCAGGACCCACGTCAGGCAGCCCTCATGGGCACTAGCATACACTCACACAGCCACAGACAATTTTTAAAAAGGTAAAGGTGCTTGCTGGTTGTGAAAAGCTAGCAAAGCACAAGCTCCACGAGAAGCCAGTGGAGACTGTTTTTAGTACTACATGAAATCTCACAAAAAGCCTCCCACGGTGCACGCTATTCTCGCAACCCGGTAAGGCAACTACAAGAAGAGCTGGAAATAGGAGTGAACGTTTTGCTGTGCACGGTGGCTCACATCTGCAATCCCAGCACTTGTGAGGCTGACAAGTGGAAGGATTGCCTACAGTTCAAAGCTAGCCAGAGCTACGCTGTTAGTTTTAGGCCTGCCTAGGCTACCAGGCGAGACCCTGTCTCAAAAGACATTAATTAACTATTTTAGAAAAGTATCGAGCAGAATCGTGCACCCTGGCTGCAGGACTCTTGTCTTATTGCTCATCACAAGCTAATGGAGTCAAAGCACACAGCTTTCCTTGGAAAAAAAAACAACAACAACCAAACCACTTTCTGGAAAGAAGGTGACATCTCACACCTGTATTCATAAATCTAGCTGTCCAGAAAAGAACTTTGAGAGGACTTATCTTTCTGGTATCTCCTAGTAGTTTCTGGAAAACTTCACAAATACAGTAAGACAAAAACATGTTTGATAAAATACCATCAACCCTCAACCATGCAGCACAGTCAGGAAACAGGCGGCTCAAATATTCACATTTCCAAGGTCACCCAGTGCCGGGTGTGGTGGTGCTGGAGGCAGAGGCAGGCAGACCTCTGTGAGTTCTGGGCCAGCCTGGTCTACATGGCAAACTCAGCCAGAGTTACACACTGAGACCCTGTCTCAAAACACAAAAGTCACCCAACATCAATCGTTTCTTAGTACAGTATTAATAGTCACCCTATCTAGGCTGGAGAGATGGCTGGATGGTGAAGAGCACTTGGAGCTCTTGTACAGGACACAAGCTCAGGTCTCTGCACAAACAATAATCAGTTCCCAGCCACCTGTAACTCCAGCTCTAGGGGATCCAACACCCTTTCCTGCTTTCTCAGGCACTGTGCACACATATATACACAAACACAAATAATCTCAAAGAGCCTTTCTATTGGTGGTTTGTGGCCTTTTTTTTTTTACACTAAGCATCACAATATCATAAGATATAATACTCCAGAGTGAACGGAACACTATCTTACCCTTTGTGATTAAGAAGGCTCTGTTGATCTGTGTGGCAGCGATATGGAGTTAATAGGCACAGGGGGAGAGGTGACTACGTTATTTCTACTAAAGAAAAATTCAGCTTCAAACAACAGGCTTGGGGCCAGATAGTGATGTGTTTGAATGTGACTCTCGTATCCCTAACTGTGGGGTCCTTGGAAAGTTATTAATGTATCCAGGATTCCTTTCTCTAGTATAAAACTCCCTGCTAGAACGTTGGGATCTCTCCACCTGGTGCCAAGGTTGACCTGGACAAGTTACCTTTTCTATAAAGAAGAAGAGAAATTGCCAAGACCAAGCATATGAAGTGATTAAGACTGATGAGCTTAAATCTGGAGGAAGACTTGATTAAAAATGTTTAAGAGGAAGAATGCTGGAGAAATGGAAGACTAAAAGATGTTGCTGGAGCTGTAGAGCCTGCCCTTAGCATGCCCAGAGCTCTAGGTTCAATCCCAAACCAGTTAACAAACACAAAGGTTGTTAATACTACTGAAGTCACCACCACCTTTTTCAGTCTAGCAAAAGAAGGCTTCTCTGAAAACAGGTTTAGGAGCGCCCCCATGTGGTGTATGATCTGGATGTCACCTTCTCTACCTGCAAAGCTCAACCATTAGGGGGGAAAAAGATTATTTGTAAAAGGCTTTTATTATCCAATTAGGTTTTTTATTTCCCTAAGAAGTACCAAATTATCAATATTCATGTTCCTACAAAATTTTTGGATGTTTTAAATAATGAGACAGTGTATCTGATGTGTAGTACTTAATATGGTGGTCTGAAAAATTCATTCTGGTACAGAACAAAACCAAAAGTCCATTACAACAGATGGTCAGACTGAAAGTGCTTAGGAAAATGAAGCCAAATATTACATGCTTAGTACCCTCTGTCTACTGTCTAGCAAGGGCTATTAACAGAAAACAGAGTTCTTGAGTTATATATATCTCTTGTTCTACCAGTCTAGTGTGTGTGTGTGTGTGTAAAAATGTGTGTATCTGCTATAGCATGCTATATATATATATATATATATATATATATAGCGATTATAATTATCTCAATGGAACTTAGCAAACAGGTACTAACAGCCCATGAGATAGCATTTAGCTGCCTTTCTAAGGCATGTGCTATTAGTTACACTAAAATGAGTCCGAACGCCTTACGCACATGTGCAAACTCTCCAGCACTGGCTTCTGAAAGAAGAGAAACTAGCCTCATCCATTGGAAACCACTCAGATCTATAGATTAAGACCTGTTGACTTGGGCAAAATAAAAGCTCTTTATGTAACAGGCTAATGGGGCAGTAACAAAAGACACCATGTGGAGGGTAAAATTACAAACCAGAATATTCTAATTGTGTTTGAAAGAAGGCCCCCATTGTTTACTAAAATTAAACTTTTATTTGGAACCTCAGCAGATTAATAATTAAACATTTGGAAGACCATGCACCTAAGTCATGCCAACCTTCCTGCTAACATAAAAGGGTTCATTTGGAAGAAAAATGTATTTTTGAAACATCTTCAATTGTTTTGTCAAAAAAGCTATATTCCTACATTTTCCCACATTTAAAGCCAGGATACATGGTTTCCTTTGACACCAAAAATCAGTTTTTTGGCATGAATTACAGACATTTAAGAAACACAACTATGGGGGCAGTTTTCAACTCAATACAAACTAGGTTTAAACAATTAGTTTAGGTAACAGATCCATTGTGAATTTATTTTTAAAATGTTTGTTTTGAGGTGTGGGGGGCTAGGGTAGGGTGGCTCATTATGTAGCTCAGGTTAGCCTTAATCTCACTAATGTAGCCCAGGCTGGCCTGTAATGCTCTATTTTGCTTCAGTCTCTTTGGTGCTGGGATCACAGATGTGTACAACCACACACAGTTCAAAAACTGCTTGAATACTCAGACAACTCACCAAAAGTTAAGATGGCCCACCATGCTTTAACCAAGTCCCAATATACTCTTTACCCGCAAAGCTCCCAAAGTAGAGGCACTTATCTGTATGCCTGAAAGAAGGAGGCAGGCAAGCCATATCTCAGTAGTCTACAGCTAGATTTTTAAACAGCAAAATAGACAGGTAGCTTCTACTGTTATTGGCCAGAAAGCAGGCTACTAAATACCCGGAGGGCTGAGATGTTGCTCCGTTGGTGGAGCATTTGGTTAGCATGCACAAGGCCCTGGTCCCCACCCCCAGCACCTCACAGAACTGCACAGACTGTAGTATGCCTAGATCTGAGTTCTCAGTAGGTGAGGTCAGAAGTTTAAGCCATTCGTGGCTACAGGGTAAGTTCAAGTCCAACTTGGGCTACTGAGACCCTATCTCAAGAAAAAAATAAAAATAACAACAACAACAACAACAACAAAAAAACTGTTCTGAAAAATCCACCAGGGAATCACTGTTGAGGGTTATCATGAAAGTCCTGTGGTTGGAATAGCAGCTAGTCATCCTCAAGGCAGTAAACAGAGAGCAGTGTGCAGCTCTCCAAATGGCACTGAGGGAAAGCTTCCTGCCCTGTCAAGGTTACACCCAGACAAATTCAGTCCTTAGGTGGGTCTTCCCTGGCCAGCAAAGACACTGTAAAAAGCAGTGAACAGACACTTAAAACAGAATTCAAGACTCTAGGCAACCATGTGGAGACCAAGTCCTCCGTGAGGTGTGGAAAACCTGGGTAGCCCAGATTCCTTCCTTTCTTAAATAAGATTGTTTCTCCTCCCATGTTTACATGGATACATCTGACGTGTTGATACGGCTCTTAGCAGTAAATCCTTCAAAGTGTCGATCTTTACCTTCAGGTTCTTCAGCAAAGTCCTGATGGTCAGGGTTAGCTGCAAAGAAGAGAGCACAGCTTGAGTGCACCGTCCAGAGGGACAGCATCTGCTAAGTTAGGAAGGCCTGGGAGACAGGCTCAGGTTGTCAAGTTCTCAATGATGTCCTGGCCGAGCCACCCATCCGGAGCTTGTACCCACAGTGCACCTGCCCAAGGTGACCTGGCCCGGAACGTGGGCATTGACGGGCACTGAGTGGAAACTGTCAGCTTGCCTTCAGACTCAGCTGGAGCTCAGTCTCCAGAGCTTCCGCATATCGCATTTTATCCACCCTGGAGCCATGAGGGAAACTGTGTTCCCTCAGACCTTGCTCAGCAGCAGAACCCATGTTTCCCTCAACCATGCTCCAGATGACAGGGTGTCCAGTCACACACACACACACACACACACACACACACAGAGAGAGAAATAAATGTAATTTTAAAATGTTTAAATCAAATCATAAAGTGAAATGTCACCCAAAAAGAGAATAGCCTAGAAACTAACTTACTGTAATGGCAAAGGTGATCATTTCAAATTTTGTAAGGAAATAATCTTTACCAGGGCTATACAGAGAAACCCTGTCTCATAAAAACAAAAAGTAAAACACAAAAAAGAAAGAAAATAATCTTTGATAATCAAGAGAAAAGTTCCTTTGTTATAAACAGAAACTTCCAGAACAATGAAAAAAATGTAAGACCTAATTCATATTTTAGCTAGACAGAAGCATTGACTTAAATAACTGAAAAACAGACAAAAAGCCCTCACAACAATCCCACTAAAGGCTGACAAAAACTTTTTTTTTTTGAGACAGGGTTTCTCTGTATTGTTTTGGAGGCTGTCCTGGAACTCTTTCTGTAGACCAGGATGGCCTTGAACTCACAGAGATCCGCCTGCCTCTGCCTCCCGAGTGCTGGGATTAAAGGCATGTGCCACCAACGCCCGGCTGACAAAAACATCAGCAGACTCTGGATTTCATTAAAAGGACAAGGCACTACCATGATGTAGAATGTATTCTTTCAAGTTAAGAATGGTAGTACTAGAAAGCCAAAAAAGAAAGCTTACAGTGTCAATGATTAAAAAATAGAAAAAACACATGATTATACAGTGTGGAGAAATTAAAAATGAAACAGAAAGAAAAACTAAGACTAGACACTACTGTCTATTTCACTGTGATCTAGAAGTTCTTACTAAAGGAACAAGACTAAGGAAATATGAAAGGGCCCAAGGGAGATTGAAGCATTATTTGAAGACAGAGAATAATCTATTTGGAAAAGTTAAAGAGAATCAACTTAGGGCTGGGGAGATGGCTTAGTTAGCAGAGTGTTTGCCACACAAGCTTGAAGACCTGAGTTTGAATCCCAAGCATCTATATAAAAGGCTAGGTGTGCTAGTAATCCCAGCACTGGGGTGTGGGAACAGGAGAATCTATGGGGCTGGCTACCCATCTTATTTACCCAAATTGGTAAATTCCAGGTTCAGTGAGAAATCCTGTGTCAAAAAAATAAATAAATAAAAGAATCAGAACAGTGATCAAGCCAGGATCATACCTACTATACCAGCATTTGGGAGGTAGAGGCAAGAAGATAAGGGTCAGCCTGAACTACAATAGGAATTTCAGACCACCCTGGGTGTCATGAGATCCTGTGAATTAATTAATTAAGCAAATGAAATTTTAAAAAACAAAAATTAGCAATAATACTAACAAAATCTAAAAAAATGTAAATTGGTTCCAGACGCAGAATAACTATGCTGTTACGCTGGAAGAGTGAATAAAAAGAAAGCACTAAGTATTATTTAAAAAGTCAAGCCAGTGGTGGTGGCACACACCTTTAATCCCAACACTAGGGAGACACAGGCAGCCGGATCTCTGTGAGTTCAAGGCCAGCCTCCTCTACAGGCGAATTCCAGCACAGTCATGGCTGTTATACAGAGAAACCCTGTCTTGAAGGGGGGGAGGGGACAAAAAAAGTCAAAACTCTCCTACTTAATTCGTAAATGTACTACATATCTATTCAAAATCCATTTGGGGCTGGGTGGTGGTGGCGCACGCCTTTAATCCCAGCACTAGGGAGGCAGAGGCAGGCGGATCTCTGTGAGTTCGAGGCCGGGCTGGACCGATAGCCTCTGAAACAATACAGAGAAACCCTGTCTTGTAAAAACCAAAAAAAAAAAAAAAATCCATTTGGAATCTTGTTATTGATAAGACACAACACAAAATTTTTTCAGTGATATTTCATAAAATTACCCCGAAATGCCAAACATCTGTAATACCAGTGCTCAGGGGACTGTGGCAGTAGATCATAGGTTTAAGATTAGCCTGAACTACATAGCAAGTTCCAGGCTAGTCTGGGCTTCATAGCAATACCCTAACTCAAAAATAAATAAATAGAACTACAAATGACAATAAAAATAAAACAAATGGGATATAATGAAATATAAATAAAAACAAGAAAAATAAAAATTGGACAAATGAGAATATAAATAAGACAAATGATATGTATGCAAAATAAAGGGGCATGCATTTCATTCTGTGCACCTGACAAAACACTTGCATTCATTTCTTTGGTTTGTCGTTTAATCTGTTTGTTGTTGAAATATGATTTCCCAACGTTGTCTAAACAATTGGATAAGGAGTTATCATAAACAAAATACACAGGGCTGGGACTTCTTGCTAAGGTGCTTGGCACACAAGCATGTGAATCTGTGTCTGATACCCAGCAGCCACACAGGAGCCTGTACCCCAGCACCCAGAGAGGGTGGGAGAAGAGACCAAGATCCCTGGAGCTAACTGGCCAATCTAGCCAAGTCAGTCAGTGGGTTTCCGGTTCAATGGCAGACCCAGCCTCAAAAGAACAAGGTGAAAAGTGACAAAAGAAAATAACCAGTGTCAACCTCTGGCTGCCACATGCACATAAACACCCATGAACACATGCATACACAAACAAATCCAAGAATATGATGTCAGCAGCTGCCAACAGCGTGAACACTGCAGCTGTATTATGACAATTTAATGAATGAAATGTAGACTATTGGGCTGGAGAGATGGCTCAGAGGTTAAGAGCACTGACTGCTCTTCCAGAGGTCCTGAGTTCAATTCCCAGCAACCACATGGTGGCTCACAACCACCTACAATTCAATCTGGTGTATATGTAATAAATAAATAAATCTTTAAAAAAAAAGAAATGTAGACTATTTTATATCTTCCGGGAGCAGTCATAATTTATCAAATTGGGGAAAAATAAAAGTAGACACAACATACCAAAACACACTCCAAAAATGTACATACATGCGCTCGAGTACTCATGCACACCACACACACACAGAGCGTGCCCCAGATCTAGAGATGTTCTCAGACTTCTAAGTTCAGCACATTCACGAGGTATTACCTTAGGTGTCTTCTCTCCTCTCCTTTCACATTGATTTCGTTGTTGAATTTTCTCAGCAATTTCTTGGGCAATTTGACAAGTAGAATCATATGTAGAGAACCTGAAATCAGAGTCATACAAAGAAAAAGAGGTTAAAAGTTCTTTAAATAAAGTCCTGATCCGGTGTGATGGTGACACAGGCCTTTAATGCCAGCACTGCAGAGTTCAAGGCCAGCCTGGTCTACACTGTGAGCTCCAGAAAAAAAAAAAAGAAGCAGCAAAAAGGACTCATGATAGCACCATTCAGAATGCTTCACTGAGGACAACTCAGTTAATCCACACAAGAAACTATGGGGTAAGCCGGGGGTTGGTGGCGCACGTCTTTAATCCCAGCACTCGGGAGGCAGAGGCAGGCGGATCTCTGTGAGTTCGAGACCAGCCTGGACTACCACGTGAGTTCCAGGACAGCCTCCAAAGCCACAGAGAAACCCTGTCTCGGGAAAGAAAAAAAAGAGAAGAAACTATGGGGTAGGGCACAAACAAGTCCTCCTCCACCTAGACAGGAGGAAACCAGGTACAAAGACGCAGGACTGACTTGCTCACAGGGGACAAAGGACTCTGGTCCCAGAATCTGGGCTCTCAAGGACTTCACTATTATACACACATTTGCGTTTGTACCTTTGGTTTGGGGTTATTTGGTTTTGGTTTGTTTTTTTTGTGAGTTTATTGTTTGCTTTAAAAGGATCTCCCTATGTAATCCAGGCTGGCCTTGAACTCATAATTCTTCTGGCCTTTGCTTCCTGAATGCTAGGATTACAAGCCTGCAACACTTCTCCGTAAAACAGTCAGCAAATATGATTGCTGAAGGGCCTGGGCTAAACCCAGCATTGTTTCAGATGCTGTCAATTCAAAAGGGCAATAAACAAAACGGACAGAGTTCCTGTTTTTAAGCGTACATTCTAGTAAAAAGAGGATGGCATCCAATCAATATATGCTATATCAGATGTTAAATTGATTTGTGCTGAGAAGAAACAAGGAAGATAAAGGAACATGGCGACAAGGAGGTGCTGACTATTTCAGAGCAGGAGACACTGAGGCAAGGTGAGAAGTGACATAGTGTATCTGCCCAAGTGCTCCACCTGACATGGGAGCCTGGCTGACTCCTAACCCGGCAACAGTTTTCAGAACACTGACTGGCCTTCCATGTGCCACTCAGCAGTGCTAGGGGCTCTCAAAGATTCAAATGAGGGGCTGGAGAGATGGCTCTGGGGTTTAGAGCACTGATGCTCCTCCAGAGGTCTCGGTTCGGTTCCCAGTACCCACACGACAGTTCAAAAACTAATTTTGCCCTCTTCTGGCCTCTCTGGGTACCAGGCAAACATGATGTACATACATAGATGCAGGCAAAACACCCATACACTTAAAATAAAAATAAATGTCTTTTTAAAAAAAGATTAATTACAGCAATTTCATTTCCAGTTTGTCAGAAAGCACTTGTGTGAACATACTTTCCCATCTCTTATACCAATCTGCTCCTAAGAAGCAGCAACTCTTATGCCCATGTGAACAATGTATTTTCCAGGAATGTCCATTGAAAAATAATTAATTTCTTTAAGATATCCCAGTACTGGACATGCGTATTATCCCAGCTATTTGAGGCTGAGACATGAGAATCTTAACTTCAAGGTCAGTCTACTTGAGGCAGCTTGGGTAACTTAGTGAACTGTCTCAAACTTTTTCAAAAAGTGACTAAAGGCATAGCTCAGTGGGAAGCACTTGCCTAGCTTACACAAGGCACGAGGCTCAATCACCAGCATCAGAACAAAGAAAAGTGTGCAGCCTGGCTGGGGATGTGGCTCCAGGTCCGACACAGAGAACTTTGTGTTGTGAGCTTCACAAGCACTTCAGAGGTAGCGTCACTACCCCTAGCCCTAGACGCACATATACATCAATATGCATCATTCAGTAGATTCAGGTACAGGTGTGTGTATGAAAAAGAGCAGGTGGTCAATATATATTATATACAAAACTTTAAAAAGAGAGAGGTAATAAGGAAAATAGCCCTGGCTCCAGATTCCCCACATTTTACTTGTTTGCCTTCACACCATCAGCTATGAAGACGGGAACTTCAGTCTGGCTCTGTAAAGGCAGATCAAGTGTATAAAGGCCATAAAAAAATTCCATCGAATACGAGACCTAAATTAAGTGCCTCTGCAGTTAGGGGATGGGAGACGTTTCTGATGTCAGAGGCACTCAGATTGGCTGGGCTGCAGGAGGACAACTTGGGCTGACTTCCAGACTAAAGCAGATTTCCATATGGGAAGGAGGGGTAAAATGTAAACGCCATGCAAGGCACACAGCACAAGCAAAGAGGAACTGAAGAAAAGCATGCCTGGCCAAGTGCTGGTCCTGCTAGGAGGGTGCATTTAAACAGGACAGATTAGCAGAGGTCAGTTTCTGCAGAGCCTGCCACAGCAGTCTAATGAGATCAGACTCAGGGGAATTTTACCCCAAGACACTGAAGCGTTTGAACTCTTTTACTGTTAGTCTCAATTGTTTGACTCAGTGGCTTTCTCATTTGACAGCTGAAAGCTTTTTTGTGTTGCTGGTGAACAAGCTCAAAGCCTTGCATGTAGTAAGTTCTACCACTGAGCTAAAACTGAAATAAGCTAGGAACATTCAGATGATGTACTAATATGCATGTAAAAATCACTTTTAAATACTATTTAATGATATGGAGAAACGCTTCCTGTTGTGTAAAATACAAGCAGGAAATAGATTCAAACAATAAAAGCATTGAAAAAAATGTTAACATTGGTTCTTTCCAAATGATGAAGATGCTATTTATTTTCTTTCCTGCAGATACTCAGTCGTCGCCAAATTTTCTACCAATGGTACACAATTGTTGAAATTTGGTGGGGGAAAAAAAAGAAGTGTTAAAATTTTCTGGGCATGGTGGCAGCATGTAATCGCACCACTCAGACTGAAGCAAGAGGATCAGGAATTTAAGGCCAGACTGGGCTCCCAGAGACAAACAAACAAAAGCCCACAAAAAATTCAGCAACTAGCCCAAATATCCTAAATCCCAGGTAACTCTAACTCTGACTTTGGGATCCATTCTTCTAATATTCAAAATTGTCTGCCACCAAACGATTATAAACTGTTCCAGAAACACCAACATAAGGCATATCCTCCAACAAGAACTTTATAGAAATACAATGTTATAAATTATTAAACAGGAAGGTCAAGACTGTATAGCGATGTGTTCCTTGTATAAATACATTTTCATCATTCTTTCCTTTGGGCTTCACTGCTAAATAAATGGCCCTTATCGGGTGCTGACTTCTGCACTAGTTCTTGCTGACATAAGTCTTCATGATAATGGCGCAGGAAAGGGGTAAACTGCCTATCACAAGTGCAAACTTCCCTCCCAAATTGCTACAAGTCATATTGTGAAGAGCGCATAAAACCTATACCCAGCTAACTACTAACTGGCTGGTGACCATGGAGTCTGAACCTCAGTTTCTTCCCTTTCTGAGGGTTAATGGGTGAAGAAAGAGACATCCCACCAAAGGTTATTTCTACTTCACTCTTACAGGACCGCAGGGGAGTCTATACAGGCAGTCATCCACAGGCAGGATAGGGGAGAAGCCCCCACAGAAGGCGGGGAAAAATACTCGATTCTGCTCAAGTCCCAGCTCCCCCAAGTCACGGTGTCCCCCTCCGACCACCGAGTTAGCACCGGGGAGGCGGGATGTGTCCCCAAAGCAGGGAAAGGATTCTCACCCGCTTTGCTCACCCCTAAAAGCCACCAACCTTAAGTTCAACGATGGCCAGGGTCTGTGCGAGTCCCTGGGAGCCACTTCCATCCCCAAGACCTACCGCAAACTACTGCCATCACCAGCAAACTCACCAGGGGTCCGGGGCCATGGTGCAGTCTCCGCCTGCAGCTGGGACACTTCCTGCTCACAGCAGCTGACTACGGCGGCTCGCACGGCTCATTTCCCGCAGTTCAGAAGGTGAGCGACCCGAGTCCCCTGTACACCAAATAAAATGAATTTTAGGGACCTCAAAACCACGCCAACCAAAGCACACCCCTAGGGGACAGTGGATTGCAACAATCGATTTTAGTTAATTCGCACGAACTGCTGGATGCAAGGAAAATGGTTAAATTGTTGAGCAGAATCAAAACCTTTTCCCAGGGATGGAAGCTCTTCAAGACTCCGGCTCTCGTAGTTCTTCGCATTTTTTCCCCGTTTTTTCTGATTCAAAAACAGCAAAGTAAGCCGGATGTAATACCTAGCGCCTGAATTTCCCGCACTTGGAAGGTTTGAAGCAGGAAATATTCATACAAGCAGTGTACATAGTTACATACATAAAATAGTTGCATACTGTACTTAAATTTTTAAAGTGATCTTTTCAAAAAGAATTCTTTTACAAGGAGATGTCAATTCCGTGGCTTTTTTAAAGCAGCCTACCCATCAGAGGCAATTCTCTGTGTTCAATTACTTTTAATAGTCATCATAAGGGGCTTAATTTTATAGTTAAGACAAAAATCAGAGTTTACACGGGAGACAAGGGGATTCATTCTGCATATTTAGTGTTCACCTACCACCTAAATTTCTAGAAGGAGTGAAAAAAATAATAAGGAAGCCCTCCCTACATTTGCAAAAGGGTAAATAAAGTCGAACTCAGAGGACTGGGTTTCTGCTCCAGCGTAAACCTAGCACGCATGCGCGCGCCAGTTACCATAACGACCAGGAGACGCTGCACCCTAGAGTTGAGGAATCAATGAGCTCCAGGATGGAAGAACAAGTTTTACGCGAGACCGACGTAGCGGAACTGGAGCTTGAGGCTGTGATCGGCTTCAATGGTGAGGCCTAGAGTATCCATAATACCCCAGGGACAGTGAGACCCTGACTTGGTGGCACCTGAGAGGCCATGGGGACAGTGGCAAGAGCCTAGCCAGGCATCACCCAGGGTGATGGAGGATCTCAGCCTCATTCCCTAGCCTCGGGGACTGGAATGGGTATAACAGCTCAGATAAAGCGCCCACATCCAGGAACCAAATGTGCCTAACTCAGTAGGACATAGGACGTCTTTGTCTCTCTCTCTGTGTCTGTCTGTCTAACTCTGTGTCTGTGTCTGTCTGTCTCTGTGTCTGTCTGTCTCTCTTTCTGTGTCTGTCTGTCTGTCTGTCTGTCTGTCTGTCTGTCTCTCTCTCTCTCTCTCTCTCTCTCACACACACACACACACACACACACACACACACACACACACACACACACACACCCCTGGCAGCAATCCTTAGCTCTGAATTCCTCCCCACCATGCCCCAGGTAACTACCCAGCCTGGGGCAAAAAACAAACAAACAAAAAACACCTTTCCACACCCCTTGCTGATCTGCAGTTGAGAAAGGGCTTAGAGGGAACATGCAACCACTCTAGGGGTGCTCTGTCTCTGGCCCAAGTAAGGACTCTCAAAGGTTTAAAAGACTAGGATGCGAGGGGAGGAGGACAGAAAGGGAGACAGAAAATCCTTGGTGATTCTGGAGAGGCCTGGCCGCTGCCATTACTTGTGGCTGTCATAAACATTGCCAGAAATTGCTGTGATGGGGGGAGGGGTTGTGTTTGGGGAGTCGAGGAATCAAATTTTGGGAGGAAAACCAACTTTTTAAAAAGCGCATTGTAGCCGGGCGTTGGTGGCACACGCCTTTAATCCCAGCACTCAGGAGGCAGAGGCAGGCGGATCTCTGTGAGTTCGAGACCAGCCTGGACTACCAAGCGAGTTCCAGGACAGCCTCCAAAGCCACAGGGAAACCCTGTCTCGAAAAACCAAAAAAAAAAAAAAAAAAAAAAAAAAAGCGCATTGTAATGCCTGGAAGCTTTACAGTTGTAAGGATGTGGTGCGGACCGATCACTGGGTAAACTTTAAAGCACTTTGGGCCTTAGCTCTTGAGTCTTCATTTTGTACTGTACAGCTCTAACTGAATGCCAGCATTTCCTGTATCTGAGCCAGCACGGTTTTTAGAGATGGATGGAGATTACTGATAAGGAGTGACCCCTAGTGAACTGCAAAAACATCCTGGTGAGCCAGAGCAAAGACATGCAGAGATCTGAAACTGAACTCTTGCTAACACACTGCAGTTGTTAGAAAGAAAATGGCACCCAAAGGGGGTAGCACTAAAGAAGGTGTGGCCTTGTTGGAGGAAGTGTGTCACTGTGGAAGCCACTCTGAGGTCTCATAGAAGTTGAAGCCAAACCCAATGAGTCAGACCACTTCCTGTCGCCAGCAAGATGTAGGACTCTGGGGTATTTCTCCAGCACCATGTCTGCCTGCACACCACCATGCCACACCGCAATGATAATGGACTAAACCTCTGAAAATGTCAGCCACCCCAATTAGATGCTTTTCCTTCATAAGAATTGCCGTGGTCATAGTGTTCTGTCACAGCAATAGAAACCTTAGGAGACATACTAACTATCAGAAGAGTGAATTGGAAAGGTTTATCAAAGTTTGGATGAAAGGTTGGGTTTTTCTTTTCTTTTCTTTTCTTTTTTAACTGTGTATGGGTGCTTTATGTTTTTCTTTTGGTGCATGTCTATGACTATTGCCCAAGAGGGCCAGAAAACAGTATCAGATCCCCTAGGACCAGTGTGAGCCTCATGTGACTGCTAGGGATCAAACCTGAGTCCTTTGGAAAAGAAGCCATTGTTTTAAACTGCTGAGCCAACTCGCCAGTGTTTATCGGGTGGGGGATGGGCATGTAAGTGCAGATACCCATGAAGGCCAGAAGAGGGCATGAGATCCCAGGAAGGTGGAGTTACAGATGGTTGTGAGCAACCTGCTATGTATCCTGGGAAGTGAGTTCAGGTTCTCTGCAAGAACAGAATACATGCTTCACTTTTTGACTTCTCTTAAGCCTATAGCAGAACGCATTTACTTCAGACTTGAAGGAAGTCAAGGAAAGAGTGGCCTCTTGGAGTTTAAATAGTCCTTAAAATAGGGTAGGAATTAGTGACTAAGGATTGAGGTGCAGATGATTCCAAGTAGCCAGAAAAGGGGAGAATGTGGGGAAATAGACAGCATAGGGCTTACTTAGCGAATAGCAAATAGCTTGCTTGAAGCTTTAGGACAAGAAACACAACCTGGCTCAGAGGTCGGAGGCCTTAAACACTAGGTGGAATTAATCTGCAATTGAAAGCCATCCCAGCACTCAAGAGGCAGAGGCTGATGGATCTCTGATTTCCATGCCAGCATGGTCTACATAGTGAGTTCCAGGACAGCCTGAGCTACAAAATGAGACCCTGTCCCCCGAAAACAAAAAGAACGTCATCATAACAGTTATAGTATTAAACTTTAATTCAAACTCAATGATACACATATGTAACTATACTCTACAGTTCTTAGTACTATACTTAGACATGATTTTATCATGTAAACAGACCAAATACAATTGTGTTAGATATGAAAACATCAAGCTATAGTTATTTGGTCACATTTAACTGATTTTCCATTATGCCCAGAGCTCTTATGAGTTAAAAACAGCAGAAACAACAAGCAGGAATCTGCAAGCCACATTTGTCCCACTGTGTGTTTTGTAAATGAAGTTTTATTGGAACTCAGCCATGTCCTTTCCTTAGGTGTAGTCTATGGCTACTTTCACACTGTTCTAGCAGAGATGAGTAGCAGCATCAGAGACTATATGGTTCAAAGAGTCTAAAATATTTATTTCCTGGCTCTCTATACAAAGATAAACTCAGCCAGGCAGTGGTGGTGCACACCTTTAATCCCAGCACTCGGGAGGCAGAGGCAGGCAGATCTCTGTGAGGTTCGAGGCCAGCTTGGTCTACAGAGTGAGTTCCAGGACAACCAGGACTGTTCCAGGACAGGCTCCAAAGCCACAGAGAAACCCTGTCTCAAAAAACAAAACAAACAAACAAAAAAATGCTAAACTCTTAAAATAGATAATGGCAATAGTAATGATGATGACAATAATAATAAAATGATAAATAAATAATAATAGATAAACCTAAAAGTGTTATTGAAAGTGACATCACTTTTTATTTCTCACATTGGCAAAGGCTAAATATATGGATTATACTTACAAAGGTGAGGATAAGGAGTTTTCATTTGCAATTGCTAGAAGTATAAATTGCACCACCTTTAAGAAGAAGAGTTGACTTCATTGGTAAAGTGATTGCGGCACAACCATAAGGACCCTGAGTTTTGGTCTTCAGTAACTGCATAAAAAGCTGGGCACGGTGGTGAGCATCTGAAACCCTAGACTAGAAGGCTGGGGGAGGAGAAACAGGCAGATCCCCAGAGTCAGTCCAACCAATCAGTATGTTCTAGGTTCATTGAGAGTCCCTATCCTAGAAAATAAGGTGGAGAGTCATGGGAAAAAATAATCTGTCTTCAACATCAGACCTGCCTTCACACACACACGCACACACACACGCACGCACGCACGCACGCACACTTTCCCCTCTTGAGGGAGCCATGTACTGTGGGTGTAAAATGTTGCCTTGACTGCCCCGCATTGTGATCATGACAGCTTAGGTCCTGTAACATGGTCTTGCTTTCTCATTACCACTGCCCACTTTTCACATATATTTTCCTACACTTTCTATTAATTCTGTGTTTCTTTCTTGAAATTATTTTTCTGCTCTATTTAGCCAGAATTGACTCTCTTTGTTTTCAACCAAGAATTTTTTAAATTCTATTTATTTATTTGTTTGTTTGTTTATTTGATTTTTCAAGACAAAGTTTCTCTGTATTGCTTTAGAGGCTGTCCCAGAACTCGCTCTGCACACCAGGCTAGCCTCGAACCCACAGAAATTCGCCTGCTTCCCAAGTGCTGGGATTAAAGGCGTGTGCCACCAATGTCTGGCTGTAACCAAGAATCTTAACTATGTGTAGTTTGAA